AGAAAATACATGGCTTAGAATAATTCACTATTGTTATTTTGCTCTATCACGCAAAACTCACATCGTTTTCATCTGTTATGCGATGACGCAAAAAGATGTTCGTGTATTTCATGACATTTATTTCAAGACAAATTGCGGCACTATCAGGGCTGTAGCCACGCCAGACTTCAGAACAAGACGAGGCAAGTTTCGAGCGCCGCATGCGCGAAACGCTAGGGGGGTCAGGGGGGGCATGCCACCCCCAGAAAATTTTGAAATCTAGAGGCTCAGAAATGCTCTTTTAAGCATTTTCCGTGGCATTTTTCTTCAAAAAAGTCAATCTTAATAAGTAGTTTCTTAGAAATCGACTTTGAAATAAAAGCTAGCGCTAAGAAGTCACGACGTTTCGACCTCTCTGAGGTCATTTTCAAGTGAGTAAGTTTTCCAAATCAGCATAAATATGTTGAAGCAAGTTGAAGACGATAAAATGTGGCGAACGCTGAAATATGTGAAAAAGTATAAACAATATACAATGGAAGAGAATAAAAGAATAAAGGAATAAAATAATAAAATAATCGTAGCACGAATTGTTCTAAACAAATAGTTTGGCGCGAATTGAATCGCACTCTTTGTTTAGCCTTGGTTTCAGTTCTTTGATAAAAAAACATTTAAAAAACAAGGCAGTCAAATTTGTTCTGACACTTCCTTAAGATTTGAAAATTCTGTATGATGTCTTTTGGCTCCAAGTTGTGCTGATCCCTGAGGTGGTGTCCGATTGCCGATTCTTTGTGTTGTTCAATTCGTTGGTGTAAGTGTCGGCACGTGTAGCCGACATAGCCTGCATCACACAGGCCACACTAAAATGAATACACCACGCATTGTTGACTAACAAGAGGCGGTTTGTCTTCCCTGACCCTAATTTCATTCTTGATATTTTTACTTGTATAAACTGGGCTAATATCTACGTTGATCTTCCGACAGAGGTCAGCCAACTGTTTTCGTACTACATTTACAGATTGTACTACGATTATTTTATCATTTTATTCTTTCATTCTCTTCCATTGTATATTGTTTACACTTTTTCACATATTTTAGCGTTCGCCACATTTTATCGTCTTCAACTTGCTTCAACATATTTATGCTGATTTGGAAAACTTACTAAATGCGTTCGATGGTCAAAAGTAATCCATCTTGACAGTAGATTGTCACAATGTAGGTCTGTTACGGTTAAGGGTTCATTTTTTCGGAATAACAGTTTTTCACGAGTATTTCATTCGGTGAATTTAGTTCTAAAAGGATAGAATTTCGAAAATCCTTGTGAAAGAAATGATAACACAAAATCTTTTGTTTCAAATCCTAACTACACCTGGCACAAAAAGCAAACTGCCTCTTTCGCATGAATGATATATTTATTTTGTTTCCTCAAAAACTCAACAATTTTTTTGGCTTCAGGGCGGAACTAAGTTTACCTAGTTGGGTAAAGTTGCTAATCAAAGTGAAGATTTTGCTTTACGTTGCAATTAAAACAAAATGGAAATAAAATTTTTCGAACACACAATTGAACCTGAAGGATTACAAGAAAATACTTACTGGCAACCACAAAATGGAAGCATGCAATGTATCACACGCAGAAAGTGTTGACGAATTAATGAAGTTAGGTTAGATTAGACCTAAATTTTATTGACCAAAAAGGTTCCACCGAGGAGGTTAGGGGTTACTGGGTGCAGATTGTAAGTATACCTGAGATTTCTATTTTTCCATATTATCGCACAAACGAGCGAATTTCCAATGACATCTACCAAAACGAGTAGGAGCAGTACTGTTGTTATGGCAAAAGCAGTAGACATCCTGAATTAGAAAGTGTTATCATGTAACCTACATGGGAACAAAAAAGACAGAAGGTTAACTTACATTGCTAAGAAGAGGTGTAAGACCACAGATATCTAAGTAAGAGAAGGAACTGTAGTAAATAATTTTCCTAAAGATCTTGTTAACAATTTCATTATTCAAGAATGAGCGTAAAATTTCAGTCTTAGCATTCTTACCAGATTGGCAATTATTTGAGCAAGTAGAGAGGACTTTTTTCCTTGATTTCTGGCCTTAAAAAGTGTTTAAATAACTTGCATATTATATAATATATGCTTAAACGTGTTGAATTCCCAGTTTTAAAGTGAGCAATCAAATTTTCAGAAAAGAAAACAATGGCTCAGTTTTATGTTGACTAAACCTTGGATTATATTGAGTTTAAATTAAATGTGACGAAACAAAGTGAATCGAAGATTCAAAATGTTAATAGCTAGAGAAAAATACAAATAACTGAGAAAATATAAAATTTTAAA